TCCGGTACAGTATCAACAGACCAGAGCGGTTAGCCGGGAGGGTTTGGTTCACTAAATCCCAATCCTCACCTCTTAGTAAATAAAGTAGAACCTGGTAACTCAAACTCTGACGGGAAACGAAAAACCAATGTCCGAGTTATCATGGTTGTACTGTATTTACTTCCATCTCAATGGGTTCCAGTCCTCGCTCCAACTCCTTTACTTCAGTTGCCTGCTCCAGGTGTTCAGATAGTGGAGTGCGGCGCGAAGTAAGAGAGCGGGAACAAGCTATTACTTCAGCTGCGGTCCGAATACCTTTTCACACTGCGATGAAGAGACCGGCGCGGTGTACCTTCACGCTGTTACAGAAATCGCGCCAAAATCACCCTTTTTCATGTGTGAACAGAAGCCTTATCCTGTATGGTTTCGAGCTATCCGAGATAGTGTGAACATACCCGAAGTTGCACTCTTCATCAACTCGCGTGGCTTAGTAGTACTATACTACTACATGAGAACTTTCTGCAATTTGATTGGCTTAGAGCAGTGGTATTTCAGCTTAATTTGAAATACCTACATGTGAAAATTACAAAACCTTTGCGGGTAGTAGTATAAACAAATAATAGCATGATTTGTACGTAATATTTGGCATAAATAACACTAGTGATATTTCAAAATTGTCTTAAATTTCACTCACCTAACGGCTCGTGAAATTACGTATAACAATTTCGAAATATCACTCGTGGTATTTATGCCAAATATCACTACAAATCAAGCTATTACCTATACTAATTCCCTCTTTTCCTCTCTTTTAAAATCCTGTCACGCTAGCTATACGAAATGCCCTTATAATTTATCTGGAGTGTATACATAGTTACGTTTGATTTAATAAAGACTGACAATTTGTATTTTAGCATCATATTAATTTATCTTACCGCTTTTCCAAGATTTCTCGGTGAAGCCTCCAAAAATGTTTTCTCCACTTTTCACAACAGTGATTGTAGGCCCTTTTTGGTCGCACTTTGAATGAAACATTGAAGCGTCAAAGCCATATCGTGAAGCTCGGAAAAGCAAATGCCATTTGTCTTTCATAGCCTTAGGCAACCAACCTTTCAAGACTTTTCGATGCTCTTCATTTGTCAAAATCACCGACTCCTTGCACTCTTTTGGTAGTTTAGGCTTCAGTTCATCCAATCTACCTTGTAGTTGATAAAACTCAGATTCGGCTTCAAGCTCCTTGAGGAAAGTAGCACCCTCTGATAAAATAAGCTCAACATTCTGAAGATAATTTTACATAAAGCGGAAGTAAGTTCCATCTCGGTCGATAAAGAAGGAACCGTCTTCAGTAGTCTCTAGCTCATGCCTTCCTGAAAACATGGGATCTCTTGTTAGCGTTTGCAGGCTTGTGGTAAAGTGTTGACCACCGACATTAAGTTTCACGATTGAAGGAAAGTAACGCGGCTGATTCGACATCATCACTTCAATGGGATCATCTAAGGCACGTTCAGTAGGTTAGTGCAGCCTGTAGTTTCAGGTACTTTTCTCTAAGAACGGTTTGGCCGAAAAAACGCAAACTGTGTTTAGGGTTTAGATTACTGATGTGGTTCTGCATAATACCAAAACTAAAAAATCCGTTTGCGAAGCAACGTGTTTGGTCGGCAGTAGGGAGCTTAAGCAACAAAGACGGCGACGGCTACAAAAACGTCACTTAAAAAGTGAATTCGCACCGCTTCAAACTTTATCGCGCTTATTCCATCTCGTTTACTTCGTCAAATGTTGGCAAATGTTTTTGGAGTTGAATTCTAAACGACTGTATCAAAGTTCGGGAAAAGAAAAGAAAGTCGTTGTCTTGTGTTCCCGTCCTCGACAAAACGTGAATTCAGGCACTTTCACGTTGTAGTCGGGCAACGACGGCACAGAAATGTACAAAAAAGCGTGATGCACGTGCATTGTTGTTGTTTTACTAATCAAACCTATTGCTTTTAGGCCGTTTTCGTTGTCGTCCGCGTCGTCGTTGCTTAAGCTCCCTAATATCAAAGGACAATTACGAGCCCAGGTGGGTAAACTCGTCCCCATCTCTCTCTTACGATCGGCTCGTATCTGGCTGCTGGAAACACGGTGACCCCCGTAACGCAACATCGCAACTTTTTATCTCGGTTTGGAAATCAGGAGGAGGGTATACGTACAATTTGTTTCGTTTTCCACCGCTCACCATGCAGGCTCATTTTTATGCTTTAAACAACGCCAAAGAACAACGCCCGAGAAATAAAAAAAAAACTAAGATTTGTAACTTTAAAAAATGTCGGATAGTTCGGTTTGCGTGAGATCATTCAGTTATCTTCATTACCGTAAACTGCCACTTATAAGCTCCCCCCGCTCACAGTAATGGACCCATCTACCTGTATTAAAAAAAAATACATCCGACTATGATCATGAACCCCCCCGGATATAAACCTCCTCCACTGGTATTGGAAAGAATTCGATTGATCATGACGTTTTGTAGCCTGCGAACAGCAGACGCATTTCCAGGCTAGACGTTTTGAAGCTTGATTAAAAACCTGTACTGATGCATAAGGTATTTTGATCATGATTGCTGTGATTGCTATAGCTTGTTTTGAAGTGCTTTTTCTATTCTGATTATAAGCCCCCTCAGAGATAAACCCCTTCGTTTATAAGCCCTCCTAAAAGCCCTTACAAAGATGTATAAGCGACAGTTTTACATATTCAGTCGTCTGATCAGATGAGCTCGATATCATTGAAAGAAGAAAGTTTAGGACAGACGTCAAAAAAGGTGTCAAAGAACAGTAAAAGTAAAGATACCTCAACAAAATTTTTCAGAGAATGAAGAGATTACTTTAATCATTCCTTTCATCTCCCTTTCTTCTGAATAAAAGCGTGTGCACGCTGAATAAAAGCGTGTTTACGCAATGCATCTTGTCACTTCAGACACCCACAGCAGTAACAACATGTGGGTCAACATTTGTTTGTTAAACGGTGAGCAATTAGGATTTCTTAGATCTAAAAAAAATTCTTACAGTCGGCTTTCACAGTCTGCTCAGCCTGCGTGACAGGCGTTTTAGTTAATAGGAGAGGGGAAGGGAATTCGGGGCGCACGAGAGCCACGTAGGCTACAGTCGACTTGACAACTTAATCATAATTATTCACGGCCTGCCTCCTCCTCAGGCTCTTCTTATTTCGCATAGAGGTGAGCGCGAAACGCGAGTGATAGGTCAAGAAGCGCAAGGGGCAATGGAAAGATCTGAGAGGTGAAGGCGTTTTCTCCTTCCTGCCTTCCTTTGCGCACTCGTCCCCAGGTCCTTTCCCTTTCCGCTGTCACAGTGATATAGGCATCCCCATTCCCAAAACCCTAGTGACATGTGCATCCCCTGTAACCCTACCCCAAATAGCTAAGGTAATGTGAGAAGGGGATTCTCACTCTACTAGGGTTTTAGGAATGGGGATGCCCATATCACTGTGACATCGCAACATAGCCCCTCTCCTTTTCTAAGCAAAAAGACCTGGGGACGAGGTTGGTGCGCACATTAGGGAGTTTAAGCAAAGACGTTTTTGAGCAACGGACGTCAACCTAGTCTGCTACACAGCCTTTTTTAGTGTCGTCACGCAACGCCCCTCCCCACTAACGGCTGCTGAAAACCGAAGTACATTCCTTTCCCTTTGTGTTTGTGGTCTAACGAACAAACCAATCATGGACAAGAAATTTGACAATACGTGAGCCGCAGGGCGCTGGGAAGCGAGCACGCTTCTCAGTTTTCGACAAATCAATCAATCGTCGCTGAATTTAGCCTGAAACTCAGGCTATTTAGACGGGCTCTGTGTTTTCAAGCAACGAAAAGGTTAATTTGCTAAAAAGTTTGTTTTAAGCGTCAAGAAAGTTCCAAGTGAAAAAAAGGTTTGATAGACCTAGAAAACTTTTACCAGGATCGGTTGGTTCTTCATTTAACGTGCATATGTGCTGATATGTAGTGAAGAATTTAATGTACCGGATGTGCTCATTGTGTTCTGTGAAGACTAAACTCTCAAGGGTACTGAGTCAAAAAGCAATCTTGTAAATTATCGATGAGCGATTTCCCGAAACTATACCTGGCAACTTTATGAGCACATCCATGTTGTGAATCGCAATTTGCTCGACTTGCTTGCTGTTGCTGCTTGTTTCCTAAATTTTGAATAGGACTCGACTACGACAACTCTGTAGTTAATTGCTTGTTTTCACGCGACGATTTTGATTATTCTGTCATTCACACATGGGGCAACGATAAAAGCAAAGCTGTGATTGGAGGAGTCACAGTACCGCAAAGGTGGCGCGAATACCTTCCAGAAAATGGGAGCTGAATTATAATTGGTTAATCACGGGAAAGGAATGTAGTTCGGTTTTCGGCAGCCTTTAGTGGGGAGGAGCGTTGCGTTACGACACTAAAAACGGCTGTGTAGCAGACTAACGTCAACCGGAAGTGAGGCAATTTCCCTTTTAATATACCTTAAAGCTACCAAATGTGCATTGCTAAGTGTCTTTACTCTTATAAAGACGATTCCCCTGAAAATTTAAAAAAAAAACAGCTGTTCAAGAATGCAAAAAGTCTACTTCCGGTTGACGTGCGTTGCTCTTGCTTAAGAGAGAAGAGAAACATCCGGATACGAGACATAAGACTGAGCCGGTACCACATGATGGTTATGATATTGAATATGCTATGGTTTCCGTTTCTTCCACTGCAAATTTTCATCTCTTTTCATTAAAGTGATTTCCCTATTTTCTCAATTCAACGGCCACTTTGTTTATTTTAAACTTATTCTTGACCCGGCGTTTAGTTGAATTTGAAGTATATTTGAACAAAAATGGTTTTTATATCAAACAAGTTCCTGAGTGATTCATTTTCAACTTCTTTAAATGACTTGGCTTTATTGAGGTTCCCGCGTTAAATAATTAAGAATTTTAAAAACGGTATACATACCCTAGAGACAAAATTTAATTTTTTCAATAATGATATAATAACGGACTGACAAAGTCGGTTTGCTTTGGGTCTCGGCTACGATATCTGAAGGTTAAATCCTAATCAGAGGCTGTGCTTTAGGTAGATGCTAGGTCATACAGGAAGTATTAACTCACGAGACTAGATTATCATATGATCAGTTCGAAACTCTAAGAACAAACTTGATCTCAGTTATTCAGTCTAGATCGTCATGATACTAACAACCAAAGGAACCATGTGCCCGTAAAAGAAAATGTTGATAGTGCTCTTAACTGTATTCCACTGCTGCTTTCGTGCTCATGTACATTGATGAACTGCAGTTCATCTGCAATGAAAAAAAAATATTAAGAGAAGTCAAATATGCCCCTACCAACCTTGCAGCGAGTATGTGCAAATTAACCTTTAAGCATAATTTAACACACTTCGTGACGTTAATGAAGGACACTGTCAATAGTGAGTTTATTCGAGGTGTATGTGTGAAGCGAGAGTTAGGTGTATAGACTGAGGAAGAGTTTTGCTAATTGAAATATTAATTGCCCTGGAGTTTTTTTATATCATTTCTTTTGTGCTGGCCTTGTACCGCTGGTAGGAAACGCGTACAACACAAGTCAGTAACAAAATGATGCGCCTCTTTGAGGCCACACTACGGGCAGAGTGGAAATCAAAGGCAAATTCAAATTTCCCGTAACCAGATTAATTTTTTTGCCGTGCCTACGAAATGCTATTAATGGCCTAACATAGGCTTTGGACTCAGTCGGCAACAAAGCCAAACAAAAGGCGGATAAAAAGGTTCTTATTATAGCATCTCGGGATGCAGTCCAATCTCGAACCAACTGACAACTGACGCAATCATCTTATATTGCTTTTTCAGTTTAACAACGACAACAAAACACAGCGCCTGTAGAGTCTTCTTCACGAAGAGTGTCAACGCTTTCAAGAAGTAATCGAAAAATAAATGTTGGCTAGATTGATGAACTACATCAAAGATAAATGTTGGAAGATAGAGTCGCACCATGCCCGCAACAACTCACCGGAAATGTTCACAGAGATAAATACCGTGGGAAGAAGTTCCAGCCGCAAATTAGACTTATAAAAGATAAGAACGGGACTATCCTTCCAGAGAATGAGGACATTAAACTAAGGTGGAAAGAATTTTGTGTAGCCTGTACACAGAAGTTGTTTTATATGTCTTTTTTCGCCCCATGTAAGGGAATCCGGATTCCGGAATCCAGGAATTTTTTGCTTGTGGAATCCGGAATCCTGGGCTTTGGAATCCGGAATCCAGCACTAGGGATCCGGAATCCTACTAAAGATTGGAATCCAGAATCCAACTTACTAAAGATCCACTCCTGATTGGATTGAGCTACTCGCTCGAAAGAAAAACCATCTATGGAAAGCCTCCCCAGGGTGTATGCCTCAACATGATGACATACAGTGTGATATCGGCATATCTGGTGTCAAAACCATAGTTGACGAACTCCATATGAAAGGTCAAGGTCACGGTCAGCGGGGGAACCCTTGCTTATGAGCGGCTGGCAGGATCACAAAATTCGGGGGTTTTCGAGGGAATACAGCGCAGCCTTTTTAAGGTATAAATTGGATTGTTGTGAATAACTTCAACCTCTGGCTATGTTTGATTCTCTGTTGCTCACTCGCTTCGCTGAACTTAAAAAATCAAAAGCGATTTGACCTGTCATAGGACCGGAAAAGGTGCACCTGGGGTGAACCTTTTCTTGAACCTTCCTGGTCCTCTCCTGGTCCTCCTGGTTCACAATTGAAAATAAACGTCCGCTTTCAACATTTTACCAAAAAAGAAAAAAAGAAATTCACAGTCTCCTAGTCCCTAATTTGGTCCTAGTAGTTTCGGTAAGAACAGTTTCATGGTTTCGATAATCTTTATTTGAGAAATAAGCTAGGTACTGTCAGAACCGTACCAATCAGCTGTCACTAAAGTAATCACGTGCAAGGCCGCGGTGGGTGCCTTTTTCATTCATCCCCGGCATTCGAGTGAAATCTCGCCACCTCATCGATGAGACGAGCCTTTTGAAGTTTGTTATCTGTTGAATTTTTCTTTTCTACCTTATTAAAAAAGAAAAAAAAACGTTATGGGAAAGCACAAGCAAAAACAAAAGGCTGAGAGAGAAAGGTACGTGTAATACTGTGTTGTCAAATTTTATACCAGTTTTTAGCTGACTGATAGATCTAAACGTGCCAAAGGCAAAGCTGCATGATTTTTCGTTTGTGTCGATCTGTGGACTGTAACGTGGCGGTAAGCAAGTCACAAACATGAACGAAAAATTGATTTTTTTTCTCAATCATAATTGAATGTGATATGAAGTTTACGTCGCCGTGGAGAAAATATCGTATAAATGAGCGCTATATGGTTGTAAAACGCTTAAAACTAGCCAACGCGTGAGAAACGCTCAGGTCTCTCTTCATTTCTCAGTCATCTCAGTCTCGGTCGAGGAACAGACGGATTTTTCATGTTTTCTTTCTACAGTTGTGCTCCTGAATAGGCCTCGTTCACATTGAGGTCGCTTTTGGAAATTAGACCGATCTGAGATCGGTTAGAAATGGATTCTAGAGACCCCAGACCATCTCAGAGACCCAGATCTCTTATTGACGAAGCCGAAGGCGAGATCTGGTCAAATCCGATTATTGCCTGTCAGGAATGTGACAGGCGATGAAAGAGCGCATGCTCGAAATAAATCCTCAATTTTCGACGTCTTAAACAACGAATTTGATAGAGCCGTGAAGTCTTTTTTCTAACAAAACGTGGTTATACGCACATCCTAAGTATGAACCAACTATTTTTTTTGTTGTTTTTGTTCTTTTTAACATCAAATTCAACCGCGACAGTTAGTTTGAATTTCATTATCATTGCGCGCGCTAAAACCTCAAAGCAGTACGCGTCAACCTCTACGCGAGAATTTTTTACTCTCTTCAAAAGTCTTTATTGATACAGAGAGAGAGTTTTAAAAAGTCTTAAAGGATAAGATAAAAATTGTTTTCCAAGATTTATTGAGACGGAAAACTACTCTTTAGAGAACGGAACCAAAGACTTTAATTTGCAAAGAATGAATTGCACACGCCACAGCGTATTTTTATTTGACCAGTTACTAATAAAACGAGAAACCAGGCAAAAAGAGACAAAACGACCTAAACGATCCACAACGATCACAAATAATCGTCAAACGATCCACAACGACCCAAAACAAGCCAAAACAAGTTCCACCCTCCTAGGAACGTCGGCTAAAATTGATTAAATGATAAATATTTCACTGCGTTTTCATACCCGGAGCGTAGGATGATCTGTATGGTCTTTTTATGCAAAAAGGGGTTCTCAGGGGTTCGTCACGGGAACGCGTGACGAACCCCTAAGAACGTCTGCGTGGGAGGCTAGTAATTTTGTAAATCGAAAAAGAAAACAAACTTGTTATGCCTTCTAGTAACGCCTTTCAATATGGCAAGATTCGAACACGAAAACAAAGTGCGAAGAAAAGAATTAAAACCGGAAAAAAAATGGAATCCACCTCTTTTTGGAATCCGGAATCCACTGTGCTGGAATCCGGAATCCGGAAGCCAGTACCCGGGATCCGGAATCCACAGCATGGAATCCAGAATCCAAGACTGTCCTGGATTCCCTTACATGGGGCGACTTTTTCTTTTCGTTCTATTCAAAAACATCGGCGAGCGCCTGAGCGAAACGAGCGAGAGCTAGCGCGAAGCGCGTCTTCTTCCCCCACCCCTACCCCTTGCACTGGCGGTCAGAAAATCCCCCCATGTTTTTGTTTTTTATCACGCGCGCTCGACTGACTTTGAAAAGAAAATAGAGGGTCTGTGAACAGGCTAAATATTGTGAGGATATGTATAAATGCGCTAAAGACACGGAGGAGGAATTAGAAGTTGAGCTTGCGGAAGATCTGAAAAAGTAGGGAGCCCTCTGAGAGAGGAGGTAGAATTGGCAATTAAAAAACTCAAAGTTGGGAGGGAAGTCACCAGGTTGTGATCTCATCACAGCAGAGATGATCAAAGCAAATGGAGAACCGGGGATTGATTTCTACCACCATTAAAATAACTAAGATAGTACGCGCACTCTGATTGGCCGAGAGGCGTGTTTACATGAGAGTATGTAAACATGGTTGTAACGTCAAGATGTTATGCTTTTCGCGCGCTAATCACGCAAGCACGAATTTGAAAAGGTTTTGAGTTGAAAAACTCGACAAGTTTACTTTATTTATCCATTTCCTCGTCGGTTGAAACCTGAAAGATCTTTAGAAACATGCTGTGTCAATTTTTTTTCGCTTGAGCTGACATTTTAAGCTAGAAAAACCCGTATTTTGGAAAGCATTTTTTTTGCAAAATAAAGACTGATTTCGCGTACAAGCTTCGCGTGCAAGACCTCGCGACTGGTAAGAATTTCTCTTTTGATCAATGCTTTAAACAAGGGAGTTTTGGTTTTTTTTCTCGGGAAAGTTATTTTATAAAAGCAATAGAAAACTTTTTTCCTGTGTTTGCATATCCTGATATAAATACTCGAGGGTTGGGAAAATTCTCGACAGTTATGCAACCCTCGACTTCGCCTCGGGTTTGCACAACTGTCTCGAATTCTCTCAACCAATCTTGTGCTTATATCAGGCTATGCAAACACGGAAAACGTTATATATTGCTTAAATATGTAAGAAAATTTGGCACCAGGGGTAGTGGCCGCAAGAATTGCTGAAAAGATCGATCTTCACTCCAATACCTAAAAAAGGATAATTGAAGGACCGCATCAATTATTGCACAGTTTCCCTAATTAGCCACGCAAGTAAAATCATGTTTAAAATAATCCAAAAGAGACTAGAATCAAAACTTGGAGAAGAAGTGAGTGCAACACAGGCAGGTTTCAGAAAAAGTTCAAGCACCAGGGATCATGTTGCGAACGATAAACCAGAAGTGCAGAGAATTTAATAAAGATTTGTGTATGTGTTTTAAAGACCATTCAAAGGCGTTTGACTGTGTATCGCACTCTCAGCTTTGGGCGACTTTAATTAAAATGGGGTTTCCGTATAGAGAGAGAATATAAATCCTGATTAAGGAACTCTGCAAGGGTCAGGAAGCAGCAATACGCACCAACTGCGGAATCACAGAATGGTTCAAAATTAAACGAGGCGTCAGACAGGGATGTATCTGTACCGTTTTTGCTCAATGTTTATACAGAAGACAGCATGAGAGAAGTTGGGGAAGATGGGAAAGATAGATGGGAAAAGAGAAAGAGGAAGACCAAGAAGGCAGTGGGAAAGGGACATACAGGATGCCTTCGACAGGTCAATAACAGAAGCTGGACATTGGGAACTTGACAGATGTCGTTTCCGCTGTGCGGTCGAAGATGCGACGTCCATTAGGATAAGCAGTTAGAGAGAGATTGGTGAGGTTTTTACGACAAATAGGCGCTCTCTGGGAGACTAGTCAAGGTGAAGAAAATATTTTTTTTCTGAGAACCTTTAAAATACACTCAAATCAGCTCTCATTTTAAAAAAATTAATCCAAGTTCGTTTATTTACTTACCGCTCTGATTTGGCCTTACTTTCAAGGCCCTTCTCTTAAATTAAAGCCCAACAATATCAAAGTAACATATTTCTCCTGAGTACCTAGCACCCCTGATGAGGCATTAAATACCTTTGTCAGTTTTATAATATTTGAAAAAAAGCATGGAGTATTTTAGTTGTAAGAGTTTATTTCACCTGCTTGGTATTTGTCACTGGCAGAGTCCGAACACCTCGTAATCTGTAACAGTGAAATACTCTTCACCAGTGAAGAACGGGCCCGAAGGGGACTGATAGGCGTTTCCGGGACGGCCGCGACTAGATCTCCTTGTGTTTGCATTATCTGATATTTTTAGCTCACTGTACTCACTGCCAAATGCCGGTCCACAGGTGCTATCACAAAAGATGCCCGGAGATGGCTTATGCTGTGGGAACTGCGACAGTTTGGTCGGCTCCTGGCCACTTGGGTTTACAATGCTGAACAGGAAGGCATTGCAACAAGGCATGTGCACCCATTCACTATCAGTAGGACCTGCGAATAACATATACTGTATATTCAGGCATTATGTGTTAAACGGTCATTTTCACATTTCAATTTCAAAGTTCTTTAAGTCTAAACCTTTCAAACATTTTCTGCTCCACTCCTCTTGTTTAATCCTGAACCAATATTGAACTCGAATTAAAACCACGAAGACAACTAATATGATCTGATACCAGTCCTGCTCCTTTGCAAAGAATACGAGATTTCAGCCTGAGGCCATCTACAGTAATTTTTTTCATTTCTACCGAAATGTTTTCCCCTAAGAAACGAGCAAATAAGTTAAAGCCACCTATAAAGACGTTACCAATATCCTGCTCATGGACTTATAAACTTATCGAGTTAATTCAATGAGTATGATCTACGTAATCCTTTACACTGGTGTTTATCAGTTTATCAGTTAGTGTGGCTTAACTAGGTACCCAAGTATGAGCAGTGTGCAAGCCATCAGAATAAAGAGGAAATAATAATTTAAAAATTAGGAAGGAAATTAACAAGGGTGAATGCACAAATGCCTGTCACACAGGCTATACGAATTCAAGGCCATTCATCAGGCGGTGAGTTACTCGATAAAGCTAATTTGTATTTTAAAATCATATCAATTTATCTTACTTGTCCAAGCGTTCCCAGTGAAGCCTCCAAAAATGTTTCCACCACTTTTTACAACAGTGACTGTAGGTCCTTTGTTGTCGCATTTGGAATGAAACGCTAAAGCAGCAAATCCATCTCGTGAAGCTCGGAATAGCAAACGCCATTCTCTTTTTATAGGCAACCAAGTTTTCAAGACTCTTCGATGCTCTTCGTTCGTCAGTATCACCGACTCCTCAAACTCTTTCGGTGCTGTACGATGCAGTTCATCCAATATCCCTTGCAGTCGATAAAACTTAGCTTCTGCTTCGAGTTCCTTGAGGAATGTAGCACCCTCTGGTAAAATCAGCTCGCCATTACGAAGATAATTTAGTATAAACCGGAAGTAAGTTCCATCTCGGTCGATAAAGAACGAACCGTCTTCAGAAGGCTTCATCTCAAACTTTCCAGAAAACATGGCGGCTAACATTGAGTTGGGATCTCTTGTTAGCGTTTGCGGGTTTGTTGTAAAGTGTTGGCCACCGATATTGAGTTTCACGATTGAAGGAAAGTAACGCGGCTGATTAGACATCACTTCAATGGAATTATCTAAGACACTTGCAGTAGGTCAGTGTAGTCTATAGTTTCAGGTACTTTCCTCTAATATAAGAACAGTTTGTCCTAAGAAAACTTAAAAATTGTGCTTAAGGTTTAGATTGCTGAGCGGTTCTGCACAATACAGGGATACCAGAACTACAAAATCCGTTTGCGAAGCAACGTGTTTCGTCGGCAATATCAAAGGACAATTAATATAGGGAAGATGTCGTGTCTTTTTCCCGCGAATTTTAATTATGTTAATGTGTCTGTTAATGTATTTTCTTTGTTTTCTAGCACGTGCCATAGTGGTGGGCAGTCGGTCACAAAATTTAGAGCCTAAGCGTCGATGTTTTCGCGTGGATTCTATTTTCTTCTTTGTAGCTTGATAGTTCAGTTTGATGCGGTTGCATGAACAAGTTTTTTCAAGTATCGAGTATCGTCGATGAACTTGTATTTGCGTGAAGGAGCGGTGAAAGGAAACGATGAATTCAACAGGATTTACTAACGACGCGTCGACTAGTAATTTGTGCCGAGTGTGATCTTCTCGTCGAAGTATCCCACAGGAGAGGTGGTAAACTCGTCCCCATCTCTCTCTTACGACCGGCTCGTATCTGGTACTTGGCAGCTGGAAGCAAGGTGACCCCTGTAACGCAACATCGCAACTTTTTACCTCGGTTTGGTAATCAGGAAGAGGTTATACGTACGAGTTGTTTCGCTTTCCACCACTAATCATGCGTGCTCATTTTTATGTCTTAGACAACGGCCGAGAAACAGAAAAACTAATATTCGTAACTTTTGAATGCCGAAAATTTTCGTTTGCGTTTTAGCCCCCTCCCCCCCAGTTATGGACCCGTCTACCTGTATACACTGTACAAAAAATACATCTGATTATGAGCAAGAGCCCCCCCGGACATTAGTCCCCCTCCAAATAGGTTGGAGTGAATTCGATTTATTATGACTTTTTGAAGCTTGAATAAAAACTGGTAAATGCAAAAGGTGTTTCAATCAGCACTGCCATAGCTTGTTTCGCTAAACCCCCCTCGGAGATAAACCCATTCGTTTATAAGCTCTCCAAAAACATGCTAAAAGCCCTTACAAAGATCTATAAGCCCAGGGGTTATAAGCGACAGTTTGCGGTATTCAAGCGTCTGATCAGATGAGCTCGTTGTCATTCAAAGAACAAAGTTTAGGACGGACGCCAAAAAAGGTGTCAAGAGCAGTACAAAAAAAAACTCAAAAAAATTTTTCAGTGACTAAAGAGCTTACTTTAACCATTCCTTTTATCTCCCTTTCTTCTGAATAAAAACGTGTGCACCCATTCAGACGCCCTCAGCAGTAACAACATGTGGTGTCAACATGCTGGATCACTTTTGTTTGCTAAACGATGAGGAAGGATTTCTTGGATCTAAAACAAATTCTTGAACACTGTTAGTCTGCTTTCACAGTCTGCTTCGCCTGCGTGACAGGCGTTTAAAAGGAGAGGGGAAGGATATTCCGGGAGCGCAAGAGCCACGCATGTTACTGTTGCCTTGACAACTTTATCATAACTATCCAAGGCCTACCTCCTCGGCTCCTTCTAAAATGATTCCTGATTCGCATAGAGGAGAGCGCGAAACTCGAGTGACTAGTGACGAAGCGCAAGGGACAATGGAAAGGAGATGTGAGAGGTGAAGCCGTTTTCTCCTTCCTGCCTTCCTTTGCCCGTACCAACCTCTTCCCGGATCCTTTCCCTTCCCGCCCCTGCCCTTTTCTAAGTGAAAAGACCTGGGGGGGACCTTAGTGCGTACGCCGGAGAAAGACGTTTTTGAGCAACGCACGTCAACCGGAAGTGAGGCGATTTCCGTTTTAATATACCTTGACTCTACCAAATGTGTATCGCTAAGGGTCTTCACTCTTATAAAGACAATTCCCCTGAAAATTTAGGCGTAACAACTGTTCAAGAATGCAAAATGTCTACTTCTGGTTGACATTCGTCGCTCAAAAACGTCCGATTTGCTTAACTGGTCCCTATTGTCATCGACAGAGAGACATCTGGGTACGAGACATAAGACTGCGGAGTACCACATGATAATTATGACATTGAATAAGCTATTGTTTCCAATTCTTCCGCGGCAAATCATCATTGTCGTAATCTGACTTTACAACTCATCTCTTTTTTGGCATTAAACTGATTTCCGAATTTTCTTAACTAACGACCTCTTTCAGTTTATTTTAAACTTAGTCTTGACCCGGTGTTTGGTTGAATTTGAATTACTAAATTTCAACAAAAACGGTTTTTTATATCAAACAAGCTCTTGAGTGGTTCATTTTCAACTTTTTAAATGACTTGCCTTTATTGAGGTTCCCGCGTCAAATATGGAATTTAAAACACAGTATACATACCATAGAAACAAAATTTTATTTTTTCAATAATGAAATAAGAACGGAACTGACAAAGTTTGTTTGCTATGGTTCTTGGCTTCGATATGTGAAGGTTAAAATCCCAATCTTGGGCTATGTGCCTCAGGTAGATGCTAGATCATACAGGAACTATTGACGCACGAGACTAAATCATCAGATGATCAGTACGAAATTCTAGGAACACACTGGATCTCAGTTTTCCAGTCTAGATCGTCATCATACTAACAACCAAACAGAAAATTAATGTTGATAGTCGCTCAGTCTTATATGTAATTCACTGCTACTTGGTGCTTATGTACACATATGGACTACAGTTCATCTGTAATAAAAAATAAGACAAATATTTAGAAACGTCAAACAAAGCCCCCCCCCCCCAACCTTGTAGCGAGCAAGAACAAATTAACCTTTAAGCATAATTTAAAACACTTGTGAGGTTAATGAAGAACACTGTCGGTAGTATATCCACTGTATCCATTCCAAGGAAGAATGACATCATTGCTAAAACTAATCAGATGAGCATATAGGATGTATTTAAAAGATTTTCGGTAAATATTATATAGTTACGATCAAAACAGAAGCCTATTCTTGACTACCATGTACTTATTACTTATACAACTTAGAGTAAAAGGTTTGTTCCGGTTAACTCAATGCAGATACAGTCACCTCCCCTTAATATTGCGCACACTCTCAGACCCATTAGTAAGTGCGCTTATTATAGTGACTGAGTTTATGTAAGGCGTATGTGTGAAGCGAGAGTTAAGCGTGTTAGACTGAGGAACAGTTTTGCTAATTGAAATATCAATTGCTCTGGCGTTTTTTATCATTTCGTTTGTACCGGCCTTGTACAGCTGAGGTAGGAAACAAGACAAGTAGGTAACAAAATCATGCGCGGCCCTTTCAAGGCCACTCTACGGACAGAGTGGAAACCCGAAGGGCAAATTCAAACTTCCCGTAAACCAGATGAATTGCGTTGCCGTGCCTATGAAATGCTTTTATGGCCTAAGGAGGTTTTGCGGACTCAGTCGGTCACAAAGTCGATCAAAAAGCCTAACGAAACGCGGATAACTGAAGGATCTTTTTAGAGCACCTCGGGATGTAGTCCCATCTCGAACCAAACAACTGACGCATTCATCTTATATTCCTTTTTCAGTTTAACAACGAGAACAAAACACAGGGCCTGTAGTGACACGGTCAAATGCTCCGAGAGTCTTCTTCACGAAGAGGGTTAACGCCGGCTTTCAAGAAGTAATCGAGAAATAAATGATAGCTAGATTGGTGTGGTTTTTACTACAAAAAGTCGCACTATGAGAGACTAGTCAAGGTGAAGAAAATATTGCTTTCTGAGAACCGTTAAACTATGCTGACTTAGATCAGCTCTTATTTTAAAATACCCTGCGAACCGAATCTCCTTCGATCTTCCTAGATAAGTCGGGAAGAGGAAGGAACTCGCTTCCTCTTTCCCGACTCATCTAGGAAAGATCGAAGCGACTCTGCTAGCACGGTAATTTTTAAAAGCCAAGTTCATTTACGGCTCTGATTTGGACCCATTTTGCACCTCTGTTGAGTTAAAGCCGAACAATTTCAAAGAAACATATTTCTCCTGAGTACCTAGCACACCTAATGAGGCACTAAATACCTCTACGTTACAACGTTTGGATAAAGCGTGGAGTATTTTAGCTGTAAGTGTTTATTTAACCTGCTTGGTAGTTGTCACTGGCAGAGTCCAAACACCTCGTACTCTGTAACATTGAATTTTGAAGCACCTGTGAGGAACGTGCTCTGTTGTCCTGGTGGAAGCTGATAGGTATCGCCGATATTGCTGCGACTAGGACTTGTGTTCGCATTATTTCCTATCCATAGGTCATTCCCATCACCAAACATTGGTCCACAGCCGCTGTTACAACGGATGCCACCCTCTTCCTTCCCGGTGATGAGCGACAGTTTGGTCGGTCCCAGGCCATTTGGGTTTACAAACAGGGCTCGAAGTTATCTTTTTAGTGCACTTGAAAAGTTTTGCTAGTAAGATTTTTTTCGACTAGCAAACTGGTGAGACCACAAGCAATTTATTTCCCTTTGTTTGGGAGACATGAATAATTCTAACTCGCAATCGTTTGCTAGTGGATATTTTTCTTACTCGCAGATTATCAAAATCACTCGCATTTTGCGAGTTTGCGAGCGTTAATTTCGAGCCCTGTACAAAGCTGAACAGGAAGGCATGGCGACATGACACATATGTATTACGACCTGTGAATAACAGTGATTACACCTGACATATATATTCAGAAATCATGTGTTAAGAAGTCATTTTCAAATTTAAATTTCAAAGTTCTTGAAAACTAAACCTTTCAAACAATTTCTGCCCCATTCCACTTCTTTGATCCTGAACCTATATTGAGCTCGGTTGCCCACGCAGATAACTAAACAGACCTGCTCCTTTGCATAGAATACAAAATTTTGGCTTGAGGCGATCGACAATATCTTTTTTCATTCTACCGAAACGTTTTCCCCTGAGATACGTCGAAATAAGTCAAAGCCATCTACCTATATCCTGCTCATGGACTAATCCTTGTTTAACGAGTATAACAACCTCCTTCCCAGGGTTCTCTCTTCCCCGTCCCTACGGAGAACACTGGAAACGAGGTTGTGAGTATAATGTAGGGTAATTCTATACACTGGTGTTTATTAGTTAGTGTGGCTTAGGTATCCAAGTATGAGCCTTCAGAATAAAGAGGAAATAGTCATTTAAAAATTAGGAAGGAAATTAACAAGGATGATTAATTCACAAATGCCTGTCACACAGGCTGTAATGTATCAGGCCGCTAAGTATGCTGGGATAGAAAAACCATGTGCTTTTGATAGCAGCGGCCGTGTTACGTTCGCAATGAAATTGTTTGAGTTACGCCAATAAGGAACAAACTGTGTCTTAACGAAGGTTTATTGAAGACCGAACGAGAGCCGCATGGTATTACAAAGAAGAGCCACGGGCGCATGCGCGCGCTAGATACCGCTGAAAGTAACGCAATAACAACGTAGTGGCGTGATTGCCTCCTCCTTCTTTCCTACCCTAACTAAGAAATAAAACATGAACAATAGGCTGAACTGATACGAGCACTAGACTAAAACCGCATAGGATAACAACGGCTAAAAGTAATGAAAGAGCTAGAATAAATATGAAACTGAATGTAACGGTGGGGTGTATTCCCCCTTATGATAAGGTACGAGTGAGCTAATAAAATACGCAGTTCATGGTAAAGACCGTAGTTACGGCTAGAGAGTACACGGCAGAGTTATTAGTCAAAGTCCCAGTCCTTATTGTGCCAAAATGGGGCTTTCCGCGAGCGGTCAGATTTCCTAGTGGGGATAACAGCAGCAGGCGTCGGCTGTGCATCATCAGTAAAAGAGGGGTCCAGGGGGGCTTGTGGAGGACTCCGAGAAGGCATAATGACTTCAGGAATTGGGGGGTGTTCCTGGGCGGGTAGCTGAGAATGAGCTGGAGACACTGAGTGGTGTACCGGAACAGTATAGGTATCCACTGGTGGAGAAGCAAGCACTGTAGGGGGTCTTAGTGAAGGGACGACGGGAACAGGATCATCGTCAGAGTCAGAAGCAGTGGATTCGGTCTGGCCACGGATGGGTCCTTGTGGAGTCTGAGCTAGGACAGTTGGGGTGACAGGGTAGCAGTCACACATAGGAATGGTGTAGACCTTACTGCGGAACTGTGAGCTGGTAAACTTGCGGAGCTGACAGAAAAGGTCTTTATCGATGCCGATCACAAGATACTTGTCGCGGGCTTTCAGTTTGTCTTTGTCACCTTTGATGAAAACAAGGTCACCAACAAGGACAGTGGGGATGGAGGCTTTGGTAAAGCCATGGGCCTTGGACTTAGCACTCGGCATGTGATTCTGCTGGCGGGAAAAGTTTTGACTGAGGATAATCTGGCGGTCGACAATTGGAAGCTGCGCACCAGTGAGCTGGTCGCGTTGCGTCCACAACTCAAGAGCTGAGAGGCCATCACGGCGGATGCGGGAGTTCATATTGGCCGTTGCTAAGGACAGCGTAGTTTGATAGACGGGGCCTCCCTCAGGAGACAAGTTGAGGATCTCCAAGCCTAGCTCTTCGATTGCGCGCTCAGCCACAGGATTCTTGTTAGGGTTTTTGGGCCTACCAACCTCCAGGGTGATCCCATAAGAGAGGAGTACTCTGTCTTTGGCAAGGGCGGAGAAGCCAGGGGCAGGATCAACGCGGACGATCACCCCTCCGTCGCGAAGGGAACGGAGCTGAGAGCAGAGCATGATGATGGCATTGCGGAGGTCTTCGAGTTTTTCACTCGCGATGAAGGAAGACACGGTGTACGAAGACACTGTTTCCCTTAGAACCATGATCAGTTGACGATGACGCTTAGCGACATCAGCTGCAAATGATACGCCAATGGTAGGAGGAGCATCGGCAGATGACTGCGGGTGCAGGTGTTTAGGGATAGTCTTCAGAGATTGACAGGTGTGACAGCAGGAAGAGACAGTCTCAATTGCTTTGTCAAGGTCCAGAGCAAAGAAGTACCTGCTAAAAAGGCGCTTGGTTTGGTACTTGGAAGGATGACTGAAACGGATGTGAAGGGCTGTCAGGAGTCCATCAAGAACAGTGCGAGGGACAACAATGCGATCGCGAGGGGGCTGGAAAGGCGGGTGGTCTTTGACAACGAGAAGACCATCAGTGGCGATGACGACGTCCTGAAGATAGCGTTTGACATCAATTATTTTGGTAGCCTTCTTTGAAGGTCGGGTACCTTGACTGAGGTGAGAATGGGTTCGCCGGAGGTGAGGGCATTCCAGCTGGGTAGCTTGCCATGCGGCGCGGCTGGTGAAGGGCATTCGAACAGAACCCTCTAGGACTTCGCTCACGGAGATGCTGCGCACAACACAATCTTCCAACTCCGCAATAAAGCGACAAATCTGACAGCTGGAGTCCAAGCATTCTCTTGGGTGCCTGCTGGCGAAGTGTGAGGGGAGGATTTCAACACCTGCAATGTGGCGCACATGGACAGAATAGCGGCTGACTGTAGACAGGAAGGTGGTAACTCTGGAGCTGGCTGAGAACTCTCCTCTCCTAAGCTTATCGTAGGCTTGGACACAAGGCCTACTGTCCGTCAGAACTTCGGTTGTATGGGATGACTGGATAATGTAAGGGGCGAAGTGCTTGATGGAGGAAGCTATGGCCAGAGCTTCGATCTCACACGGTAGCCAGGTCACTTGATGCTTTCGCAGTTTCGCGCTGAAAAAACCAGCCAACAGCAGTTTACCGTTCCGGTGGGTGTAGAGTGTGGCTGCGACGCCTCTATTCTTCACAGAACCATCTGTCACGATCCACAAAGCGTCGCGGGGTTGGGGATTGTGATGGTCTTGTGGTTTTCAAGGCATGTTGGGCGGACTTGAAAGACAGGAGTAACTCATCGGACCACACTAGTCTTTCTCGAGATTCCTTTCCAGCGGTGGCCTGATCCAAGGGGTCCAGCAATTCAGCGAACTTAGGGAGTACTCGGCTGAGCACCTTGTATGCACCAACGAAAGATCGTAGGCCTTGAACAGTAGTAGGAGGGTCAACAGAGGATAATGCGGCTAACTTGTGGGGGCTAGCCTGTAGGGTGCCATTAGACCATACCCAACCCAACACGGTGGCCTTTCTGGGACAGATGAGTGTTTTGGGCGCGGAGAGACGAAGATTGTTGCGTTGAAGCAAGGAAAGAACGCGCCGCCAATTATGAAGGACATCTGTAGGGTTGCTCCCACCAACGTACAGGTCATCAGCAATTTTGGCAACACAACCCTCTTGAATTAGGTCACCCAGAACTCGAGACATTAGCTCCTCGAGGCATGTTTCCGACCCAGGCATGCCCATAGCAGAGCGGGTATAAACACGGATGCCTTTAAAGGGTGTGGCTGGCCCCACAGTACTTCATGGAAGAGTGAGCCAGTGGAATTTGATAGAACGACTTTAACAAGTCCGAGATAACTATATACTCCCACTTCCCAATTTCACGCAGTACACCATCGACGTTAGGCATTAGAGAAGGCTGGGGCTTGCTATACTGGGCAACTTCGCCGAAGGATGTCACAAGTCTGCTACCCCCATTGGGTTTCTTAACAAGGAAGGAGGTATTCAAGTACTCAACGTGTACGTTCACCTGTTCAGGTCTGGCGAACACACCAGCCACTTCGAGCTCGTCAAATTTGGCTTGCAATTCCTCAAGGGTGCTTCTGTTGTACTGTGGGAGTCTGCCTTTACGCTGAGGGGGGAGTGTGGGACCAATGTTGACAACAGCTTCAATGGTACCGCTAGCGCCGTTATATTTCGAGATAGTGGGGTTGAAAACATCATCAAACTCCAGATTCAGTGCTCTGAACTTGTCGCGAATGTCCTCGTCTAAGCAGCCATCGGGGTCAAGGATCACATTAGTGGAGAAGGGCTGGCAGCAGGTAGGGGCAGTAGTGGCCGTAGAGGTAGGGGCAGATGTGGTGTCTATGCTGTCAACAGGTATAACATGCCTTACATGACACAGCTGCTCGCCGGTCCGTAGAAGTATAGGAGAGTCAGTCGTATTGGTTATGCGTACAGCGTGGTCCACAGAGAGGACTTGTTGAGGTGGGGGCCATGCTCCTTCTGCCTTGAGGGGGATGTTGGATGGACAGTCTAGTCGGGGTTCAAGGGCCCATAATGTATCTGGGTCAGAATCACAAGGGGTGTCAAGCTGAACGTACTCTCCTGGCAGTATGACTGTGCGTTGCGGGTTGCGTAGGAGAAAGGACTGGGTGCGTCGCACAGCTGGTTGAGTAGTGTGTTTGGAAGCAGTACCATAGTGGATTACGTCAGACCCGCCGATTACAATTTGGCGCCTGGCAGGACGGATGCCGATGTCGTTTCGGGCCAGGAAGGGGTTTCCCGCTAAAATGTCAACATCGAGTTGGCGAACAACTAGGGCGTCTAGTTCAAATGCTTGCTGTCCACGAGTGAGAGTGCAATGCACTTCACCCACCACATCCATAGGGGTAACTCCATCGGCTTGGCGGGCCATCTGAGAAGCTGGGGTAACAGGTAGGCCATATAACTTAGCGGCCGAGGCACGAACCATGTTAGACGTGGCGCCAGTATCAAGGGTGAGCTGCACGGGGTGCTCGTGGTAAAAGGTGTTGAGAACAGGTGATTGAATGATGCTGACACGGAGTGCAGTAGGTGCAGTAGGTACATCACTGTGCTCAGGCGGGAGGGCATGATCGCAACACTCATCATAAGGGCCACAGTCGCCGATCGCAAACTCATCAGGATCGTCGTTTATAAGACGTGAGCGGGCCAATGGTCTCCTGTCACGATCAGGCAGGTAACGGCACTCCATTAGATCATGGGTGTTGTGAGGGCGTCCAGCGGTTTTGCAGAGAATACAAGATACAAATGGACGGCGGCGTGGTTGGCCCTGTCCGCCATTAGAGGTGCGTCTGGGGTTGACATTGCTAATACGCATGGCTTTGGTGTCCTCTATGGAGCGTAGTTCATCAAGGAGGGAACTAAGAGCTTATGAGATCTCTGGCTTGAGTGAGGCAAGGGTCTTGTTACGCAACTCAGAACCATACTTCTGCTTTACCAGTAATGGTAGGCCAGGGTGGATCAGCTGCAGCCACAGAACTACTATAGTGTTCTCAAGCGATGGGGAAAGATCTTCATCTGCGGTCACCTGCTCACCGTGGTGGGTTAAGCCACCATTAACTGCAAGGAGGTTGTCTTCGAAGAAGGCCATGAGGCGTTGGAATAAGTCCTCTGGTCGCTCAGCAGTTTGAAGGCTGATGCTTGCAAGGTCGAGGAAATGGGCTCCGGAGGACTGGAACCCAAAATGCTGGCGAATTTTCTGCCAAATGTCATTCAGAGAGGTAGAGTGCTTTACTATGGAGTTCCTGGAGATCACGGGGCAAAAATTGGCAATCTGTCCGAGCAGAAGATCCAGGTGGGAATTTTTCTGAGCGGCAGTAAGTCGTTGTGCCTCAGGTACAGACGTGCCATCATTCGTAAGGGCCTCTTCGAGGGTTGGCGGCGGTTTGTTTTTGCCATGTGGCCTCTAAAAATGGGACAAAGTTCTTGTCCAGGGATAAGATGTAGACTAAGTTTTGCCTCCAACTTTCGTACGAGGTGATGGTCTCGTTTTTCGTAAGCTGCCATTGTTTAGGCGCCCTGGGAGCGGCGGCCATGTTGGTTTTCCTACACGAGCGGTTACGGCGAATTCACGTTGATTTGTTGATCTTCGCACTTCGTGAAAATAAGGGTCACAGGTTCCAGACGACCACACTTGTGTTAGGGTCCACCGTACGTGGGTAAAAGCCGCTGCCACCACGCCAATAAGGAACAAACTGTGTCTTAACGAAGGTTTATTGAAGACCGAACGAGAGCCGCATGGTATTACAAAGAAGAGCCACGGGCGCATGCGCGCGCTAGATACCGCTGAAAGTAACGCAATAACAACGTAGTGGCGTTAAATCTGTTTGTTTGAATACTTTATTGCTCTTGGGATCACTACACAGGCTATGCGACATGTATAAAATCTGAATTCAAGTTCTCAACCAGGAGTCATGAGTTACTCGATAAAACTAATTCCGTTGTAGTTTAGAATTATATCAATTTGTCTTACTTGTCCAATTGTTCTCAGTGAAGCCTCCAAAAATGTTTCGGCCACCACTTTTTACAACAGTCATTGTAGGTCCTTTGTTGTCGCATTTGGAATGAAACGCTGAAGCAGCAAAGCCATCTCGTGAAGCTCGAAATAGCAAACGCCATTCCCCTGTTATAGCCTCAGGCAACCAACTTTTCAAGATTCTTCGTTGCTCTTCGTTCGTCAGTATCACCGACTCCTCGAACGATTCTTTAGGATTCAGTTCATCCAATATCCCTTGCAGATGATAAAACTTAGCTTCAGCTTCGAGTTCCTTGAAGAATATAGCACCATCTGGTAAAATCAGCTCGCCATTACGAAGATAATTTAGTATAAACCGGAAGTAAGTTCCATCACGATCGATAAAGAAAGAACCGTCTTCAGAAGGCTTCACCTGAAACTTTCCAGAAAACATGGCGGCTAACATTGAGTTGGGATCTTTTTTCAGCGTCTGCACACTTGTGGTAAAGTGTTGACCACCAACGTTCAGTTTAACAGTGGATGAGAAGTGAAATTGGTCTAGTTTCTTCGACATTGCATCGATGGACTCTTGCTCATGACGAACTCTGCTCACTTCTCGCTGTATTACTTCGCAACCTTTGTTGATGTAGTTTTCAGCGTCTATGAGTGCTTGATATCCTTGTTGATGATCAGGATTTGCATTGTTCATACTGTTTTGGAAGTAAAACGAACCATAACAGCTTTCTCTGTACAAAGTATGACAAGTCATAGTACAGTGGACTGAACCATCAGAGGGCAAACTCAGACCCGCGGCAAGTGTCTGAATGGAGACTGGACTGAGGTTTGTTAATAGTTAACAAAGGCAATATCATATATTTCTTCATTCTGCCTGAGAATCGGCTGCAGACATTGCAAAGGAGCCGGATAATGTATAGTAATATATAATATGTTAATCTTACCTCTGTGATATCGCATTTGCTTGTTGAATTTCCACTGTTGCAGTACATTAATTTAAGCGATATTGTTCAGTTTGTGAAAGCATCATTGTGATTTATAGCGGTGTACATTTCAAACTCTTTCTGACTCACTTTTTGAGTGCTAAGGTGTCCCCAGAACATGCTGAATGAAGGATAAATGTGGGTTAACCAGAAATAAGTGCCCCTTTTCTCTGAATAGAGGTGTCCCTTGATGGAGGTAACAGAAACAAAGATTATGCGAACATTTTCCTAGGACCAAATTTTGTGTCGCCTGGATGAAGGTGTCCCTTACTAGTAACGTTAAAGCAAAACCAGCTACAGTGGAACCTTGATTTAACGAGCCTCTATATAACGAAGTCCTCGGTATAACGAACGATTTTCTTCAGCCCGGCCAAAATTACGGTAAAATAACTTGAACAGAACCTCGATTTAACTAAATCCTCGTTATCCCGTTATATAACTCGTTATAATGGGGTAACACCTTGCTGTCACTTGATTTTTGTGCACCGGATAGTCAGTTGTTAATAATGTTTATCTCAATTTTTATTACTTCCTATTGGCCTTTTCGCTTGTGTACGCAGAATAAAATTTAGAATTATGAGTAGTAGAAGAAGGGGGAGGGAAGAAGATAGTAAATGTGTTTATTTTTTGGCCAAAGTATTTTACAAACACTCTCTGACCCTGGGAACGAGGTTGTAAGGGAGTCATGGCTTCAGTCTTAGTGTTCAAATCTGGTAACTGACCAGTTCTTTAATTTTCCCAACTTCGCTTGCGTTTGGAATGAGCTGAAGAATTTTTATTCCTACAGACCACTGATCTTGAGAATCCTGGCTGGAAATTGCATTTTAACTTCTACCGCTAGCTGGCTTTGTTGAGCGGATATAATTTTCCCACAGAAGTTAATAATCAACCAAAAAACACTTAGTGACTGTCAAAATATTACTGGAGGCGACATCCAATCACTTTTGAAATTTTTCTCGTTGGGTACTGTACAGTACCGCAAATGATCCCCAACCGCAAATGATCCCGAGACCGCAAATGATCCCCAAAATGGACCGCAAATGATCCTCGACCGCAAGTGATCCCTAAAGTCGACCGTAAATGATCCCGTGAAAACTTGAGGAATGGAATGGATTTTATGGGACTGATTACAAAAAACGACTGATTATAAAAAAGAAACCTTTTTCTCTCGCCTTTTAAAGAAGAAGGGAAGGAGGACGCTACATCTCAGGTCAATTTATACAAGGCGAAAAAAAAAAATGGAATAAATCTGAAAAGGTATGGTATTAACCGTATACTTCTTCCTTTTTCGATTGTTTCAATTTTCTTTCAAAAAAAAAGACAGGCAGGACGTTACGCAGAAAAATTATTTTTAACGCCTAGAAGCTCAACTTTTCTACTGAGGAATACAAAGCCGGGCACCCTCTACCTAACAAGAGCTTTATTGACTTTACTGATCTTTTTGAAAGCGTGAAATTAATCAGCCAGAATATTTCATTTTGATTTTTTTCTGAAGTGTTAATTTTACGTGATAAACCGCAAGACATTTGTTCCTAACTTAGGTGCCCGTTACGAAACAAGACATGATTTAACATAAACACAAGGCAAAATGCCCCCGAACTTATCAATGTCCACAGGTTTCGGTTTATTTCGAAATAGCAACTTTCTTACATCTCATGAACGTGTTGTGAATAGTTATATTAGCGTTTTTATGTATATTCATTTGTTGTGCTTTGCTGAAGACAGTTACCAGGAATCTAAACCTGGTAATGAGAAACGCAAAGCCAGGTAAGCAGTAGTTATCGCGTGACAAAACATCGTAAGAAACCGTCACATTCACGGACTAAAACAAAATCGCTTATGATTATTTCGATCCAGGAGGCACTTAGGAGAAAATTAAACAACCTAAAACCCTTATTTAGCGGCAGTGAAGAGCACTGCATTTCAAAAGAGGCCAAAGGAAATGCTCTTGCATCAAAGGGCAAATCATGCCGACCAGAAACAACAATAACCGCGGAAAATGAGTGTCATGACCTCTCAGTATGAAATAAGCGGCAAAAATCCTATTTGCTCAGTCAAAACGTTTTCCTCAGAGGTATAATCTACCCGCCAGAGCAGGAAAAAAGTCATTGGAACAAGCAGCATTTAGTTTTTATTCATATATTTATTTGAGAAGTAAAATTTAGCTTTTAACCTGACTTATTGTAATAATAATAAAATCGACACGATGATCCGCTAACTTGAGTCCAAGTCATTCCCATTTTTCTTTCGGGATCATTTGCGGTCGACTTTAGGGATCACTTGCGGTCGAGGATCATTTGCGGTCCATTTTGGGGATCATTTGCGGTCTCGGGATCATTTGCGGTTGGGGATCATTTGCGGTACTGTACAGTTCGCATGACAGACATTCGCCTCGCTTCGCTCGTTTACTTGCCTTGTTTACGTCAACACATATTGAGTGTCTATTGCAACTTTGCGTCAAAAAAGCCATTACGATTACTCTATTTGGGCCGAGCCCAAATAAAAATAATCGAACGCCTAAAGAGACCGATGTTACACGAGACGATTCGTAACGACGATTTTTAGCGCAACACAGCGTTGCAACATTGTTGCGACATTGTTTCGAATGGTTACAACATTGTTCCAGCATGGCAACCCAGTGGGGCGCTAAAAATCGTCGTTGCGAATCGTCTCGCGTAACATCACCTTTAAATCGAATACACTCTTGTTTGTCTCTGTGACAGCAGCTGAGTTTGCTGGACAACTACTAACACTGACGCTATTTAGAGTGGGTGATACAATACTTTACAGTTCCAAGAACTGATAAACCTGTGGTGCTCTAGGTTTCCCAATTAACTGAAGACACTTCAGATCGAATTGGACTTTGGAAATGTTGGGTTTTGAGGCGAGAGGAAATCTGGAGTACCCGGAGAAAACGTCTTGGAGCAAGAGATAAACCCTACAACAAACTCAAACTACATGTACAACACAGCGTCGATGCAAGGACTCAGGCACCCAGCCACATTGGTGGGAGTCGAGTGATCGGTGGAGATCGCCTCTTGCATGTGAGGATCGGGATTTGCTTTCTCTAAGACGAATGCCGGACTACTCGCAGAAAATCTGACAATCGAGTAACGGAAACTTCGTTTGATTTCAGTGTAAACTTGAATTTAGGGGCATTTTAGGTTGTTCTTTTTGTTTTCAAAGGGATATAAATAAAATAAAGTCGTTAGATTGTTGTAAGGGATTGCTGAACAGTTTAACTATCAATATGAAACATTTTTTCGTCCAATCTTGGCGTTTCAAGTTTAAGCTGTTCGAAAAAATGCCGGGATTTTTTGATTTATGTCGTCACCGTTCTCATCCCGCTTCCCCATACTATGCGGCCGGTGTTAAATGCAATGCAACTCCAGAGAGATGATTTAGCACCATGAGGAGGGTGAAAACATACGTGCAATCTATGATGATGACAAGCAACCGTCATCTCTAGCTTTAATGCACTTGGCATACAAGTTCATACAGAGAGATACAATTGACACCCAGAGAGAGAGCAGAACCGGTTCTGTACGAAGAAGCCAAAACTGAGTCTATTCATTTTCTAAGTACACTCCTTTCAGAAACTGATTGTGACCGTATTACTCTTTTGCTACTATATACGTAAGACTTTTACATTAAAAAGAAAAAATGTGACTGTCTACACCAACCAAGAAAAAATTATGACATTTTCCTCAAAATTTGAATTGGCGTTGCTACTAATTTCCATGCATGATCTATTTTACTTGCCTTTATTCCTAAAGAGAATAAAAAGCAAACAAAATTAGACACAGTCCATTTTACTGATTCGCCGTTTGCAGTTGCCTTTCCAATACAAGCCGAGACTGGCTATCCTGGCCACAAACAAGATTCTCTCTACCCTCTCTACTGAAGCATGCTATCACATGTAAGGTTTCAACTGACGAATTATTCGTTAGCACTAAAAGGGAGCTTAAGCTCGGGCGTTTTTGAGGGACGGACGTCAACCTGAAGTAGACTTTTTGCAATATTGGGCAGTAGTGTGGTTGAAACTCTCGGGTAAATCGTCTTTATAAGAGAAAAGAAACTTTGACTAACAAATTTGTTAGCGTCAAGGCATATCGAAAGGGAGAAGGCCTCATTTCCGGTTGACGTGCGTTGCTCAAAAACGTCTTTGCTTAAGCTCCTTAATATTTCAACAGTTTGGCTGTTTTACCCTTTACTACTGTACGGTTATTCATCACCTATGAAGTCCAAACACTTCGACATCTGTGATGGCGAAATCCCTTTTGCCCGTAAAGAACTTGTTCTGTTGTCCTGATGGACACTGATAGGTTTCGCCAAGAGTACTGCCACCAAGTTGTAGTCCATTTTGTCTTAATACGTATAGGTCGTGACCAAACACTGGTCCACAGTCATAATAACTAATGATCGCAAACTGTTCCATCCCATTAAGTAGCGACATTTTGGTCGGTCCCAGACCACTCGGGTTGACTAAGCTGAACAGAAAGGCTCGGCAGCATGGTAGGTATCTTCGATTCCTAGT